TTTTTTTTATAAAATTGTAGTAAAAATATAGTAATGTAGTAGTAAAATAATAGTAAAATAGTAGTAAGCAGTAGTAGACGTATTGTTAACTTGAAATAAATATAAAACTATAGTAACTATAAAGTAACTATATAGCTATTTTATAGCTAATTACAAGTTACATTTAGTTACAAATTTGGCAAGTTCTGTAAAGTATATTTTACACTGTATATATAATTTGATTTTCTATATTTAGTTATTATTCTAAATATGGCTATAATTTATTACTTAGCTATTTTATATATGTTAAGATCAAATTTAGTAACATTCTAAGAGATCAAGCTAATTAGCTTAAAATGGAAATTTATTTTACTTACTAAGCCTCATCTCAAATAGGTCAATCATACTAATAGTTAGCAAAAGACATAATGATATAACAATAACTGATTATTATTGTTAAAAGAGTGCATGTTAGTGAAGTAGCAAGAAATAGAAATATAATTCGGTTGCGGCAGAAAGATCTAAAAATTTAAATCAACCAAGTTGATACGAAAAGCATAATTACATAAAGACATAATAAGATTGTATTAAAAATTCATTGTATGTATTTAATTATTTATATTAAATAATATAGTATTTTTTATTAATACTGTTTTTGTTATAAACTAGTACATAAAAGATTTAGAAGAATATATGAAATATCAAGAAGAAAAATTATAGTCAATTAAAGTACATAATCATTATTATTCATTTTAATAATATTAAAGAAAAAACTTCATATCAAAAAACTTATAAATTAATAAATATATAAAGAATTAACTTATCGTATATATATATTGTATATCAAATTAAAATTTTTATCAAATCAAAATTTTAATACTGAGTTTTATTAGGGTTAAGGTAAAGCCCTATATTAGGATAAGAGTAGATATTAGCAGTATTATAATTATTTTGATTTGACACATTTTTTAATTTGACATACAATTTATATAGAGAATAAATGGGTACATATAAGGTAAAGTGGTATTAATTATTAGTAATCTCAAAATTCTCAATACCACATGAAAATATTTAACCAAACTTAGCTCTTTCTATTCAAATTAATAAAAGTTAATTTAAATCTAATCTAACAAGACAGTCTTAAACAAAATATTTCTAGTTACTTTTATTATACTGCATAATTTGATATTGTTCAATAAGCGATAGAATATTTTGTCTTCTAAACGAATTTGAAAACTTGTTTTTTTTTTTGATTGTCTTGTATAGTGAGCACTAAAACTTTGTTACTATATTAATATAGTAATTTTTGATTAGTAAAATATTAGATTATAAATAAAGCTACCCAGAAATTTGATTTATATAAGTTATTTTCTTTTATATCTAGACAATTAGATAATTTATCCATGGGTAGGTAGAGATGTATAATGGCTCTGCAGAGCTGTAAACCAATTGGCTTAGCTGAGCTAATTGATAGCTCAACTCAAAAATAGTTCAGCTAACTAACAGTTCAGCTTGTATTATGTGAAACTAGTTTAGAGCCATAGAGCTAATTACAAAGTACATATATATGTACGTATCTATCAGCTGTATAATTACTTGTTACTAATAAACTACATACCGTAATTTGCAACAAATAGTACTCTCTTGTTAAAGTACCTGCCCACTGTCAATTTAGTATCAATTTAGTCAAATTATATAGTCAATTGATGGTTCCAGGGAGGGTACTATTCAATTTTTAAGGCCTAGGAATATAAAAGACCTGGGGTACTATTTGCCGCAAATTACGGTATATATAATGATAATAATAATTATATTTGTAATAAACTATAGCAATAATAGTAACTATAATAATGATAACGATAATTATATTTGTAATAAACTATAGTGATAATAATAACTATAATAATAATGATAATTATATTTGTAATAAACTATAGTAATAATTATAATATGTTGAAATACTTTCGTAATTTCATAATAATTTAAAGACTATTTATTAAATGATAAATAATATTTTTTTCTTTTTCATAATAATATTAAAATGGATTCTAACAACTCTTTCAGTATTAATTCGCAAGGCTTCTAAGAGCTTTTTCAAGATATGTCTGATAATAATATAGTTAGTTCAAGCACAGGTGCTGCCTTTTTTTTTTGGTTATTAAAAAAAAATATTAGCAGTTTTACTGTATTTTATCAAAAAACTGAATAGTGATTCTATAGTCACTTGTATTATTTGTAAAAATGAATATAGCAGTAAAATATCAACAAGTATATTACGCAAGCATCTTGATACACAACATCAAGGCTGGAGTACGATTAAAATTTTTGCACTTATGCAAAATAATTCAGTTTCAATACAAAATTTGATAGCTAATCAAAAAGCACAATTCAATCTTTTATTAGCCGAATGGATTGTTACTGATACATTACCTTTTTCAATTGTTAAAACCAAAGTATTAATTGCTTTGCTACAATATCTTAATGCTAGTATTGAGTTGCCTTTATGTGAAACTATTAAGTCAATCATACAAAGTTCTTTTATTTTAATAAGAAATAATATTCAAATTCTTCTTGAACAAATTTCTAGTAAAATTTTAATAATATTAGATCTTTGGACTTCTCATACAAATATACTTTTTCTTAGTATAACTAGGCACTGGATTGATAACAACTGAAACTTTAAAAAAATTTTAATTGACATATGTATGTTGCCATATCCACATACAGAGATAGATATTGAAATACAATTAACATCTATTTTAACTACTTTTAATATTACTATGAAGATTTTTTATACAACTATGACAATAGATCTAATATTATTTTAGCAATTTATTGATTAAATATATATTTATCTATACAGAAATCTTTGGTTTTATTTATGCCGTTGTCTTGTATATATTTTGTATCTTGTCATTACTACTAGAATAGCACAAATTAAAACATCAATTAAAAAAAGTATATAGATTTGTGAGTGCTATTACATTATCATCTACAATAACTTAAGATTTTAAAGAAATTGGCTAGTCTGTTAGTAAAGGTAAAATAGTTTAAAAAATTTTACAGCATGTTTCAACCAGATAGAATAGTACTTATCTCATGCTATCAGTTTATATATCTATATCTACTACAATAATAGCTATTATTAGATATCATAATAATCTTGACCAATACAAGCTTACTCAACAAAAAGATTTCAATCTTCAAGTTGTAACTTAATTTTTGCGACTATTCTATGAGACTACAAATATACTATCTGGTAGCACATATGTAATATTGGGCCTTTCAATTTTATTAATTTTTGATATTATCGATATTATTACAACATGTATTCAAGATTCATTAAGCCTAGTATTTCTTAAAAGCGCTACAACGCAAATATTGAAAAAACTTAATCAATATATAGTTTATATGTATGATGAAGCAACCTTTATATCTTTAATTCTCAATCCTCAAATTAAACTTGAATTGATGCTTGCTAAAATGAATACCCAAGAAAATCAAGACCTTTTTAATAATATTTTTAGAAGTATTTAGTATTAGCATTAAATAATTCTTCTACTGTTACAGATTCAAATACTGAAATAAACTCAATAATGTATATAGAACAAGTTATACAAAAATGATAGCAAATTAATATTTTAAATAGTCTATTTGATAAGCTTATGCAATATCTAAATAAGGCTACTTTACTAATAAATATCAACCCTTTGGAATGATAGAAACTTGATAGTTTTTCGGTATATCTAGAATAGCCAAAGATTTTCTTACAATGCAGGCTACATTAGTGCTTTCTGAACAAATATTTTCAAAAGCAGGTGACACTATTCGGGCTAAACATATATGTCTTTCTGAAAAAGCATACAAGCACTAATATATACTAGCTCATAGTTGAAACATGATATTAGGTTTCAAAGAGATTAATTTTTTTTCATTTAAATTATTTTTTTAAAGTTTTTTTTTTTTAAAAAAATTATTTTTTAAAAGTTTTTTTTCTTTCAAAAAATAATTTTAAAAAAATTTTTAAATATATGTTCTTATATTATATTTCTATATGTTTGCAAATTATGAATACAGAACTATTTGTATATATCAGTAATATATATTAATACTAAAGCTTGCAAATTATGAATTACAGAAATATTTGTACATATCAATGTATATATTAATGCTGAAATAAATAAAATAATATCTATAAGGGTGTGGCGACATAGAGTAGTGATTAAGTTGTCACTCTCCAAGCGGCAGATCTAGAGTTCGATTCCTACCAAAGATGTTTTTGAAAAATAGGCCTGTGTTTTGGTAATATTTATTTGACAATTGGTTGGATATATTACTTGTAATCTTGATACTACCATCTCAAAATAAAAGCTTTAGGGTGATCCAAATTCAAGAAACCAGAATATTTGAAACCTGTTTGGCAAGACCCAAGCTAGGAGTAGTGAAGATCTTCGACGATACTATAAAAAATCAGAACCGCAAACCGAAGAACTAGACAAACAACCTTGAGGCAAAAAGGGTCCACAATCTGGCCACCAGAGTCATACCGGAGAAAAAAGTCTA